CGACCTTTTGTCAGTATCAATTTATCGCCACACAATTTATCAAGTCACTGCTTTGTTAAAATTAAACAATCTTCGATAAAAAGCAGTGATGATTCAGAAATAGATAAATAAAACTTAGTCTTAAAGAAAAAGACTTCCCCCAATCGGAACGATCCGAAAGAACGAAGCCCAGGACACAGTCTTCTCAAGTGGGTGTGTATTTGCCTAATACACCCACCGAGGTCTTCTTTTAGGTGTCCTGCGATTGCCCGAGCTGTCCTACTAAGTAGCTCAAGGCAACCTCTTGGTCGAAAATTCGTCAAATCTATGAAAAAGCTCTCCCACACTCGGACTGCTCCAAGTGCACGAGAGTAGGGAACAATTCTTCTTCTCAAGTGGGTGTGTATTTGCTTAATACACCCACCGAGGTCTTCCTTTATTTGTTCCCGGATTGCCCGAACTTTCCTATTAAGTAGCTCAAGGCAACCACTCAACCAAAATCACAATCAAAAAAAAATTTTGTTCGGGTACTTCTAATACACCCAATATAGAATCCAAAGTTGATCACGAATTTCCGGGTCAGAATGGATTCTTATGATCCTGATAAGCACGCCTAATATCCTAATATGATCCTAATTAAATGGATATTTTCCGTTTCCCAAATTGCCACAGAAGGTTTACTCAAGTCTCTTACAAGGAGGGTCGCTAGAAGGTTTAAGACACTCCGGAGGGTTACCTCGGAGGGTACCTCAATCACTCAAGTTACTTAGGAGGGTATCTTAATCACCCAAGTTACTTCGGAGGGTCCCCTTAAATTTACTAAGGAGGGTCAATAAGATGCTTAATACGCTCCGGAGGGTCACTTCGGAGGGTACCTCCAAAATTTTCAAATTTTCTGATCTCACTTGGAAGGTTCTCCTACTAGCTTCAAAAAGCGTCAAAATAAGCTAAGGGTTCTAGGGGGAGCTGTTTCAACTTCTTAGGGTGATCTCGTGGAAGTTTTCCACTAAGGAGGGTTGCTAAAGGGTTTAGCTGACTCCGGAGGGTCACTTCGGAGGGTTCCCCCTAAAATCAAGAAAAAGGGTTAAATCACCGCAGTAAAGCCTCTGAAAGCGGTCTACCTGACTTAAGACTAGGTTGGCTGACACGGTCAACCTTCCCAGTTGAATAAAAAGATGTTTTGATAAAATTTTCTGCCGCTCGGAGGGTTGCCCGTTACTTGGACCCTCCGAACCAACAAATTCTAAAAAATTTTTCTTTTCCGAAATAATCAACCCAAAAACGGTTGCGATTCGGAAAAGTGGTCAAAAACGTCGACTTATGGTACCAAAATTATCCCGATCGGATAACTAGTCTTTGAGAAATCGCCAAAAACGCGTTCGTCAAAATGGCCTTTTTCACCACCTGTGTAGGATCTGAAAGACTTTTTTCGCAATTCCGGTCGAAAGTGCCTAAAAATACTTGAAATGAGCGTAGTAGCCCTGTACGGCACTGGAATAATGCAAAAAACCGGACCAAAATTGGTTTAGAAACAAAAATTTGGCCAAAAACTATCAAATTTGGACCCTCCGATTCCTTCCTTTTCCAAACCTTAAGTCGTTAGCTCTATCCACGGAGCTACTCGGAGGGTTATCCAAAAATTTCTCTAGCAACCGAGCACGTTATGCTAGCACGCTCCTAACGCAAAAAATTTTATTGCTCTAACTCTAAAAACTCAAAAAATCGATCCCCAAAACAGATTGACAAAATACAGAAAATTATCAAAATTTTGGTCGAAAAATTCTCGTTTTCCTAACTTCTACTGAATCTTTGCTCACGCGGTTTCTTTAATAAAGGGGATCGAACTACGTGGCTACTCTCTATATAAAAGCTTTTTGCCTATCGGAAAAGCTCGGATATCCGAAAATTTGGGGGTCTACAGTTTGGTCGAAAATTGGTAATTTTCGACAAAAAATGCGTGTTTCTTGGGTCTAAATAGGAGATAAGTAATATATAGTAAGGACAATAATCTATAAATAGTCGTTAATAAATAGTACTATACCCTCCTTTGCACCAAAATATTCGAATTAAGACCCTTAACTCGGAAATTTGTAATCGATGGAGGGTACAATCGGACCGCGCCAATCGTGCCCCCCACCACTTAAGTTTTAAGGAAATAGTACCCGAACGATACTAAAATTGCTTCAACGATACCCAACAGTCGTTGCGGATGTTGTCCTTGATGTCCCTGTTGAGTGTGGAACACGTTGATCAGCCTGCCACTCTACCCTCCGGTCACCGGCAAAATCACCATTAACGTGCTTAAACACTCAAATTACACTCGAGGGAGGGTACCCAACCCTTCACCAAAACACACAATCTCTCTATCAGAAACGATATAAATCAATCTGAAACAACAACAAATAGGAAGGTCAGATCACATCTCGTCCGGAAATAACATATAAACTGTCACTTTATGTTTTTTTACTGTTTTTGGTCTTTTTTGGATTTTTTACTGTTTTTTGTACTTTTTTTTGTTTTTAAATAATTATTTTTGGCTTTTTCTTGGTTATACACTATTTTTTTGTTTGGTTTTACGCTTTCTCTTTAATTGTTTTTGGTCCTGGGACCTCAGGACAAGCGGGCTCTAGATTTCCCACCTAACCCTCCGACCCCCGGAATTTTCGGTGTTAACTAAGTTAAAAAGCTAAATCGTACTAGACGGAGGGGTACGCACCTTCCCCCTAGTACGAAAACGGTCATTAAGGCCTCTAACTCGGGCATACGCCCGGAGCGGAGGGTACGTCGCTGAAACGCTTGCTGATCATGATGGTTTCATGCCTTTAACAGGCCCACCCAGGAGCGCCATAAAAACGTCTATGTAACATTCGCCCAAATATCACACAGCGACGGAGCGTAGAAAAAGTACCTATTGACGACTGGCAGGCGTCAGTTACCTTAATTCCACTCGTTTTTCACCGTCTCGACCTTGCCAGTTGATTTTCTGGTCTGTCTAGGGCAAAGTAAAAAGTTACTATTTTTAGGCCATCAGTCAAACGACTTTTGATCAGCTTTCGTTTGCATGCGAACACAACCACATAGCTGAGTCTCGGATCCTCAGACTACGTGATTGTCATTAAAAACACGGCTCGAACCACCTATTTCTATATGTTTTTGTGTGACAGTTTTATATTAAATCCATTGGAGATGGATTGACCTTTTCCTTTCTCTATCTACTCATGCTCTGAAATATTAAATAATAACGGTGTTTAATTCAGATCTAGGACATTACAGCAACTGTTATGGCTAGTTTACACAGTCCCTTCACATATAACAGTCTCTGGGGGACCAAGCCTCCGCTCCCGTGATTTTCTTGAGACAACACTCTTATCTCCTATATTTCGTGTCCCGGGAGGGTTCCGTGGTATTTCTCTTCCCCCCACTGAAGCCTCCGTCTCCACAAATATCCGTCATTAAGGTCCTTATCGTGTGTTATTGCCACGATAAGAGGCTCCGTAATTTTCTCGTCTCGGATACAACCGTTCGTCACAAAATATGGCGTCGTTCTGATTTTTCTCTATTTTATTCAAAATGGCCGTCTTTTTTCTATTTCTCAGAAATGTTCTCCTTCAAATCGAAATTTTAAAAATAAAAATTCCAGAACATTCTGACCCTCCGTCGCAACACTTTTCTGTTCGTAAGGCCTTTAGTCACTTTTTTTTTCGTCGCGGGAAGGTTATACTGTGTCATCCGGCGGAATGGCACAATGGTCTACATTGTATCGGCTAGCTCCCTCGAACACAGCCTGGAACAACTTAGCAACCCGGAAAAAGAACGATTTCTGCTCAAAATATTAGCTTTTCCGGGATTTTCTTTAACACCACAAACCCACAGAAGAACTTCGCAAGCCTACTCTGCAGGGCACTTCTCGCAGAAAAACGTCAAGTGGTAGTGTGGCACGACGTCAACAATAATTTTATCAACAGCCACCCCACAAACAATTACAGAGCTTGCACTGCAGAGGAAGTGACAGAAATCCTGAAGACACTAACAAATATCAGCGCAATTGTATACTGTCAGAGAAACTGTACACCAGATACCAGGAAGCAGCTGATCAGCTCGGGTATTCTTGTCATTCCTATTACGAGGTGTCTCATTTCAAAGAGGAAGAGAAGAACGGAGCTGGTCAACGAATATCAGGCACTGCAACAAATATCAGGACGTCCAGCTGGAGCTAAAGTCTTTGCCGATTGTGTTCGAACACCAAGATAACCTGCCAGCTGTTTTGTCCAAGCCTCATTCAAACACAAAAAAGAAATCTCAATCGAGAAGGAGGGCGGAGAAAGAAGACTGTTGAAAAGAGGCGAGGAAACTGTTGGTCCGACTGTTGAGGAGGCTTCAACGGAGAGGGTGAGTTGGAGTTGTGTTATTTGTGTTGCTTTGTGTCACGTGAGTTTTTTTCCTCGTGGCCTGCAAAACAATAAGCACAGTTGTACTCCCACCTCCAAACTTGATTTGGACTTTAAAAAACAAACTCATTTGGAACTTAGTCCGTGATTATGCGTCATTATATGTTAAATTTATCAATTATCACCAACATGTTAATTTTTTGAGAGTTTGTCTAGAAAACAACATTATACCTGATTTTTTGAGGTTCAGGGTACCGGAAAATAGGGTGTTTTCGAACCAACCGGTAAACAGTTTTCAGACCAAACTTCTAAGAACGGAGATTAACAAGGCAAGGACAGATGAGAAAAACTTTGAAATCAAACTAGAAAGGACGAGACGCGCAGTACAGAGGGGTGTAGATGAGAAGTTTTGGCCTTCGGTAATGAAATACTTAAGTCTTAGGGGAGAAAGACAAACAACAACAGTAACAGAGACCCATCAGAAGAAGCTAATGAAATTATCAGAAAGGCAAGACCGACCTCTAGGGAAGCAAGGTGAGGGTTCGGTAAGAGCTCTTGATGATGTTGAATTGCCAAAATGGGTACAACAAGTGTTGGCATTAGGGCCAAAACATCCCGTCAGTGATAAATTTAATGAGACACACTTTCTTGCCGATATTGATATCTTTCTATCGGATCTCAAAAATCGTGAAGTCCTCGGGGAGGCCCTTTGTGAAAGCCTATGCTAAAAGGGTGAAACAAACACCATCTGACAAAGGCTTTGAGAAGGCCCGAAAGCATTTGAAGAGTAATGGATTAGTTGCGGTACCGTGTGACAAGGGCATGGGTTTTTGTGTAATGAGGAAGGACACCTACGAGAACAAGTTTTCGAATACATTAGACTCAAATCAATTCAGCGAAAGCAAAGGAACAATTGATGAGATTGTTTTGAAAATAGAAAGAGACATCAAAAAGAAGTTGTTGGTATGAGGAAAAAAGACAAAATAAGTGAGAATCTCTACACAAGGATGAGATCTACTGGGGGGCAGCCCGCCAGACTTTATGGGTTGGCGAAGGTGCATAAAGAGAATACCCCATTAAAACCGGTCATCTCATTGCCTGGTAGCTCTTATTATAACTTGAACAAAATTCTTGCAAAATTTTTTGAGAAAATTGAGGGCGCAAACATCGAAACCAACTCACTAGATGCGAGAGAAATCTTAGAGGGCACTAATCTTGAGCTCAATGAAAATTTGATATCTCTAGATGTCAAGAGTTTGTATACAAATGTTCCAGTGAAAGAAGCAATAGACATAGCTCTGAGAAAATTGTATGAGCAAGATGAACCACCATCAATTGCTAGGAAACCCATGAAGAGAATGTTGAACATGGCAGTTAGTCAAGTCCATTTCAAGTGCAATGAAACATGGCACGTTCAGAAAGATGGTTTGGCAATGGGGGCATCTCTTGCTGTTTATTTAGCAAATCTTTGGCTGAAGCAGTACTAAACTGCACTATCGAGGGATATTCCCGAAATGTTTTTGCCCGAAAAAATCTTAACGGAATCTGTCCCGAGTGCAATAAGAAAGTCACGTACAGGTCAAAAGGTGTAGAATGTTAATGCTGTTTGAACTGATATCACGCAAAATGCGGTGATATGTCAGATGATGAGTATCGAAATATAAGTGAACGTCTGTACTGTAGAAAATGAATCGCGATAAGATAGAAAAATAAGTCAGTGCAGCAAGCTAAGTTATTTCTCCGTTACGTTGACGATATAGTGAGAACAGTGAAAGGTGAACCTGAAAAAGTGCTACGGGATGCAAACTTACTGAAGCCAAATTTACAGTTCACAATAGAGACACCAAACACAAACGGGAAATTGGCATTTTTGGATTTACAAATTAGTATTGACAAAAACAGGAAAATTAACTGTGGATAGAATCAAAAACCAACAGATACAGGTATTATACTAAATTTTAGAAGCTGTGCTCCCTTTGAGTACAAGAGAAGTGTGATTGAAGGAACTGTTCACCGGGTTTTCCGCAGTACGTCAACATGGGAAGAATATGAGAAAGCGATGAAAATCAACCGTGAACAGTGGTTGGATAACCATTATCCGGAAACTTGGTCGTCGCGGGTTACATCCCATACCCTTGAAAAGATCATCAGGGAGGGCAAAAACAAAAAGAACATGGCTGAGAAAAAGAAGCCCTCTGATTATAGCAGTGATTCACTACCCATCTTGATGGTCCAATATAGTGGGAATCACAGTCAGACATTAGCAAAAAAAGTGCGCGATATCACCAATGCGCAGATGATAATCACGACGAGGAAAATGAAAACATGTATACACTCTCTAAAATCCTCCTTTTCCAGTGAAATGAAATCAAAAGTGGTGTACAGATTTGAATGTTGTGGGTGCAAATCCATCTATGTTGGCCAGACGGTCTGACATCTCACCACAAGGACTGAGGAACACCGAAAAGGGGCTACCCCAGTTGGACAGCATATGACGCAGTGTAGTAGTGAGAGTGGTAAGTCGGAGTTTAAATGGAAGATAGTCGACCAGGCGTCCAGCAGCATCAAGTTAATTACATTAGAGGCGCTGCACATTAGGAAAAGGAGACCGGCAATTAACACGCGCGACGAGTTTAGAAGTAGGGTGCTGACACTAAAGCTAAAGTTCCAAGATCGAAAAAATTCTGGCTAAAACAAAATTTTTGAAATAACTTACATGTTAGCATGAAAATTAGCGACAAAACGAAATTGTAAAAACAAAAAGGTGGAATCTCTCAAAAATTTGTGACAAAATGTTTAGAAATGTTACATAATAGTTGTTACATATTTTCAGTAATATTTGTAATGTTTTGATTCGTTAAATATTTGAAATAACGATGTGTATGACTATTTTAATGATCTTTGATCATTTTGTACAGATAGTTTAGAGTTTTTAAAACCCGAGGATGCACAAAATGTGCACAAATGTTTGTTTGAATTTACAATTTAAACGCATTCTCAAGCTACTTCCAAAATACCCCCACTCTAGAAATAAGAACGCCCCATGCTCAGGTCTCAAAATACCCAAAACACACAAACGCCGTTAAAAACAGGGTCGGAACCTTACTGTTACCGTTAGTGTTTAATGGACAGTGGACCTTTGGTCCATTTCAGATGGATCAACCTAAACACTCTCCCTAACTCAACATAACAATATAAAACACACTCAAGAAATTTAACTTACATCCCAACACGATCTCTAAATTAAGATTCTAAATTATAAAGCAACTCTAGTATTGATTTGGTTATCAAGTATAACTCAGGAAAATTGAAATAAACAAATTTTAGCACAAGACTCAAGTTTTCTATTTGAACCATTGGGCAGCTTCAGCTGTTCACCTTTCTAATCAAGGTTTACTCCGGTACAGTTGATTACTTTTCTTTCTCTCTTCCAGCGATTGCGTCTTCCTATCAGGAAAAGGACAGATCTACTCTCGTCGCACAACCCCAGTAAAAATGCCAACAGCAATTTTACCCTATTATATTTCAGCAACTTTCCCGCGATTATTGCTCGATTCTTCTGATTGTTATTTTCTCGTATTTTCAGTTGTCGCGAGAAACTTGAGCATGACAGGCTCGATTCAAATTTTTCAAAAATTACTTTTCTCCCTAAAATCCAGATTAAACGTTCATCTCGAGGTCAAACTTCCAAATATGACCGACTGGCTCACTAAAGACCCACACCAATGCAACCCCCCAACCCTAGCTATAACAACGCTCTCTCATCTCCATCCTCACCCTTCCACTGCGCCTCTCTCGCAAAACTCAAGAGAACCCTCGACTATAGAACCCGTAACAACACAAGAACCATGGTCAAATGCAACCTTCGCCTGGAAGTACATACCGACGATAAAAAAAGCTGATTTCTAAAACGACTGGCTAGCGACTAGGCACAGCTTCACATGCTTTTTTATCGTCTCTACCAAAGCCAGTTCAAGGTGTGGTCTATTAACATGGGGTTGAAAAAGTCATTACTATTTGACGTTATCGGAAAAACAAACCGCGCGAATTAACTTAGTTATATTAAAAACAGTGAGCTCATGGCTGGGTCTCAGAACCCCCAGACCACGAGGTCACTCCTAAAAACAGGGGTACTACTTTATCATCACATTACTAATGTTTTTTTTAGTAGATAAAATCATCATATTCATTGAGATGGATCAACTTTTTCCCTCAACTCCTAGCTTCTCATACTCTGAAAACAAACTTGATATTAAATTAATTCAATTCAGGACTTTCCTGTATGTGACATTTGACCAGAATGGCGCCAAAATGCATGGCAACATCGAAATTTTTTTGGAGCTTCTGAGTGGGAAAGTTAGCACTTTCAATTGATGAACAGAGCTAATCGTGCAATTTGACGAGTTAGGAAGTGTCAATTTGAAGTGACAGATTAATTATTAATTTTTTTTTGAAAATAAATACACGTCATGACCTTGAAGTTTCGCAAACACTGAAAACCGCGAAAATCAGTACAGACAGATTTTTGCTAGAAAACAGCAACATTGACTCTTGAAAGTGAAAAAAAAGAGTGAATCATATTCAGATTATGATAGAGGCTGTCCAAAGTGTAATGATTGTAGCTGTACAATCGTTACCGAACAATTCCCGAGAAATCGGAAGGATATCGGGAGGGTTTTACCACCCTTCCAGAGGGACGACAAGACCGCTCTTTGTCCAAATTCCAGAATCCGAAAGGGTCTCGGGAAGAAAACTGACCTGTATTTTAACAATTTTTAGCTTCCGGATATGTCCTGAATTGAAATAAATAACATCAATACTCTTTTTCAAATAATGAGAAGCTAGGAGTTGAGGTAAAAGGTTGATCCATCTCCGATGCATATGATGCTTTTTATCTACGGTTAAAAAAAACAAAAGTAATATAACATAACAAGTAGTAGCCCTGTTTTTAGGAGTGACCTCGTGGTCTCGGGATACTGCGATCCAGCCATGAGCTCACTATTTTGCATTCAACTAAGTTAATCTGCGCGTTCTGGCCGATAGTTCTGGCCGATAGCCCAAAAACAGTAAAGATTTTGTCGACCCGATGTTAAAGGACCACACATAGAACTGGCTTTGATACAGACGTTTAAAAGCAAACGAGACTGTCTTTAGACGTTAGTCAGTCGTTTCATAAGCTAGCTTCATTTTCCGTCGATATGTATTTCCGGGCGAATGTTACATATATGTTGTTATGGCGCTCCTGGGTGTTATTCTTTGAATATCCTGATCGGCAGATCCAGTAACGAGCACTCCGCGCGAAGCGAAATCTCTAAATAAGGCCCTTAGTACAGGGCCGGAAGGATGGTTCGAAACGCGGAAGCCTTCCGGATGCCCAGATTTGGTTTTCTAACCTAGTTAGGACCGAAAATTCACGTATCGTGAAGGGTGGGGGATTCGCGGTACCGTCGTTCCCTAAGCGGTATATGACCAAAAACACTTAAATATACACAAGAAACTAAACAAAAAGTAGTATAGTACCCAAAAAAAAACCAAAAACATAAAAAAGAATCGGAAAAACCAAAAACAGCAAAAAACAATCAAATCAAAAGAAGTCATACCCCAGACGAGGTGTGATCTACCCCTCCCGTTTGTTGTTGTTAGATATATTGTTATTACAGGCATTTATATCAAACAGGTACGTTACGATAAAAATTATGGCCCGTTTCTGGTGCCTGTACTGTAGTGTTTTAAAACCTGTTTGCCAATAACCTTCCTGGTCCCGGTTAAATCCAACTTAACGTGTTTGTTTTAGAGGATTCACCAATCCGGAGGGGTCCAAATAGCATTGTTTTTGGCAAATTTTTTCAACCGGGTTTTTTGCGTTGAACTAGAAAAGTATAAGCCTTTTGAGCACGGATCGAAAATTTTTAAGTCAATAAGACAAGAATTGCGAAAACAGTTAGGCGGAACCTATAAGTTTGAAAATTTTTTGAGTTCGCATCAAAAACGTTCTGCTTAATAACTTTGGAACAACTGGACCAATTCAGTTCATTTTGGTACCGATAAATTAGAAATTGAGTAGGCTTGCTCATAAGTTAACTATTTTTTGAAGAAAGCCAGCATTAAAAAACTTTTAGATTGTTTTTAGCAAAAACTACCGATTTCTGAAGGTAGACACTTCACATTTTGTAAATTTTTTTTTGGAAAGCCCTTATACCCCTACCAAACGGTAGTAACGGTTATATAAGGCATTTTTTGCGCTGTTATCGACAATAAGGAAGGGCCAATGAACCTAGAAAACGGCAGTCGAGTCAAAAACAGGCTGGTTAGGCGACCCTTCACAGTTAAGAAAATTTGTTAAATAAGCAGCTTAGCCTCAATCCGGAAGGGTCTAGGGCCAGAGCATATTTTTCTTAGTTATTTTATTTAGCATAATAGGCTCCAAGACCGTATCCGGAAGGGTCTCGGGTTTTGTTTTTAAGCGACTCGGAAGGGCGGTTTTGGT